CTCTGACGCTGTCCGATAGGTAAAATCGTCAAGAAACGACTAGAACGCCCGCAATTTCGTTTGTGTTTTAGCAGGACCCTTTTGATTACTCGGGCGACTACGATCTGGGCCCCACCCAGATCACCGGCATGTGCGACAGGAGCTGGGTCAGGCAGTTCCGAGGCTGGTACGAGCCCCCCCTCTTCTGGATCATCTTTGTGCTGGGCGCCGTGGGCAACCTGATGGTGGTCTGGATCTACACCACCGTGCGCAACCGCCTGAAGACCATGACGGACGTCTACCTGCTCAACCTGGCCGTGGCCGACCTCCTCTTCCTGTGCACGCTGCCCTTCTGGGCCGCCGATGCCATTAAAGGTTGGGGGTTCGGCGGGGGTCTCTGCAAGACGGTGTCTGCCGTGTACAAGATCAACTTCTTCAGCAGCACCTTCCTCCTGACGTGCATCAGCGTGGACCGCTACATCTCCATCGTGCAGGTCACCAAGGCCCAGAACTGGAAGGAGAAGCGTCTGTTTTACAGTAAACTGGCCTGCGTGGCGGTGTGGCTGGTCTCCACTCTCTTCGCCCTGCCCGAGTTTCTTTTCGCCCACGTGAAGACAGACCTGAACGGGTCGTCCTTCTGCGTGCTGGTCTACTGGAACAACGCAAACAATCGCACCAAGATCCTGGTGCTCGCCCTGCAGATCTGCGTGGGCTTCGTCCTTCCTGTCCTCATCATGATCTTTTGCTACTCGGTCATCATCCGCACGCTTCTCCAGGCCAGGAGCTTCGAGAAGCACAAGGCCCTGCGCGTCATCTTCATCGTGGTTTTTGTGTTCCTGGCTTCGCAGCTGCCATATAACGGCCTCCTGATGGTGGAGGCCTCGCAGGCCGCCAACGCCACCATCACAGACTGCGGCGTGGTCAAGCGCTTCGACGTGGCCGGACAGGTGGCCAAGAGCCTGGCTTACATTCATGCTTGCCTCAACCCCTTCTTGTACGTCTTTGTCGGGGTGCGCTTCAGGCAGGACCTGATGAAGTTGTTGCGGTCGTGCACCCGAGGACCCGGCAGAGGCGGGATCGCCAAATTCCAGGCGGTTCCCAAGCGGCCATCGGTTGGGACGGACACGGAAACCACACCGGCTCTTTCATTATGAACATTATCATCCATCATTTTTCTGGAGGATTGTCTGTATGTCCTCACTAGCGTCACAGTTGAGGTGGAGCCGAGCCAGCCCACAAAGGCGGTTGTGCACGGCGATGT